TGCTGCGTCCTGGCCCTCCGTAGTGTAATGTAGAGCTGATGGAATGGGGTGTCAGCACTGCTGGGGGGAGCGATGCTCATCCTTCCATCCACACTGTGCTGCTCCGCGGGGACACCCGCCAAGCACGGGCACCGACCAGCCCCTGCAGAGCCTGGTAGGCCTGGCCTGTCTGTGCAGGTGAGCACAGTTCATTGGTAGGAAGCAACAGGGAAAGCAAACATTTTATATCCTTTTTTTTTTTTATCCCTTTAATTCCCTTTCTACTAGCTAATGCTGTACTAAAAGCTGTTCGTAGTATTGTATGCATGGCAACTATTTGAAGTAGTGGTTTTTTAAGTGGCTTCTTTTTAAGTTTTTGATTCTCTTTGCTAGTTGTTTTTTTTTTAAATTTTATTCTCACTGCAATAAAAGATGTTCTGTAGTGTTTGAATGACTGTTGTACTTGTCTTTATTCCAGGCATGAATTCAAACAAACTAATACAGAAGGGACTGGCAAGAGGATTCAGGGGGTTGTAGGTGTGCTGGAAGAGACCAGGATGGGGTTTGTGGGATCCTGGGTGCTCTCTGGGAGGATTTGGGGGTCCTGACCCCCCCAACTCTCCCCAGAGATACCACAGGACAGTGTCCACTCCCACATATCCCAGCTCTCTCCCAGGTGGTCCCCCAACCCTTCTCCCTGTACCCCAATGTACTCTGAGTCCCTCCCAGTGCCATCCCAGTCCCTCCCAACGCCATCCAAATCCCTACCAATGTCCTCCAAGCCCTCTCCCCTCTCTCCAGTTCCCCCCAGCTCATCCCAGTGTCTCCCCTGTCTCTCCCAGTGCACCCCAGCGTGTCCATCTCGCTGGTGCCGTCGAGCTCCCAGCCCAGTCCTGATGTCCCTGTGACATCACAGCTCTCCCTTTGCTGTCAACATTCTCCTGTGATGTCACTGGTGTCCAGTAATGTCACTGCTGTTGCTGTGATTTCACCACTGTCCCCAACAGTGCCACCATTTCCCTGTGATGTGACCGATGTCCCTGTGATGTCACCAGACCCCTTTGATGTCACTGATGTCCCTGTGACATCACTGCTGTCCCTCTGTTGTCACTCTGATGTCACCATTGTCCCCAATGATGTCCCTGCTGTCTCTGTGATGTCACCACTGTCCCCTGTGATGTCACCGCTGTCTCTGTGATGTCACCCCTGGCCTTGTGAAGTCACTGATGTCGGCTGTGATGTCACAGATGTCCCCAATAATGTCACTGCTGTCTTTGTGATGTCACCACTGTGCTGAGCCGTGGCACCATGTCCCAGTGAGTTCATCGATGTCCCTGTGACATCACTGCTGTCCCTTTGTTGTCAACAGTCCCCTGTGACGTCATTGGTCCTAATGAGGTCATTGCAGTCTCTGTGATGTCACCACTGTTCTTTGTGGTGTCACCAATGTTTCTGATGATGTCACCGGTGTCTCTGTAATGTCACCCTTGTCCTTGTAAAGTCACCAATGTCCCCATTGATGTTACCGATGTCACTGTGATATCACAACTGTCTCTTTGTTTTCACCAGTTCCCTCTGATGTCACTGGTCCCCAGTGATGTCATGGATGTCCCTGTGATGTCACTATTGTCACCAATGATGTCACTGCTGTCTCTGTGATGTCACACCTGGCCTTATGCAGTCACTGATGTCCTCT